CAGAACCTACGTATGTCTGACGTCATTGAGATTACTGCTAGAATACTGAAGTTAGGAAAACATTTCGTATTAACTATCAGTGTATTTTTTATTGGCGAAACTACTCTTGAATTTGACCCACGATTCCAAAGAAAATTTCTTGTTTTATGTTTCATACAAAATATATAGTATAAATGTGTGGTTATGCATTCTTTGAAGCATATGCAAAGTGATCTGTATGTGAAGGTCTTGTTTTTCTGCAAGTTCGCGTATTTCATCTGAAATCGGCCATTCAGTTTCGATTAAATAAGTATTGCAAATTTTAGATTTGGTCTGTAAACTACATCAGTTCAGTATAAAACCTGCTTTAAGTAAAGCGAAAATTGAATGCAATTGTGTCACATAGACCTGTTGCTAAGCGGTGACTCTAAATAGCAGCCGTTGCTTGGCAAACCCTCAACATGCACTCAACAATGGAACTACTGTATTTTCTAAGTGGTCCTTGCCGAGATGTTATAATCCGGAGGTCTGGAGCTCAGTCAGTTGTCGAGTTTGAGTGAGTGAAATCCCGTGTGGAGGCCGGGTCGAATACCTCCACCGTGACCCTGCTAGTCGTAGGAGGCGACGAAAAGGTAAGTCTCAAATCTGAGACAGTAAAATATGGTTGCGAGTCCAAGGGACTCGAACCCGAGAAAAACTGCGCTGGCAAAAGCCAGCAGCATATGCAAAAGATAAACCCGTCCTTGCGTCAGAAAGGACGCCCAACAAAAAATCAAGCCCGTAACTGTGAAACAGTAATAAATATCTGGTCATGAGCCCCTGATGGAGTTCGACATCAAGACTTACTGACTGACTGACTGGTCGTCAGTCACAATGTGACTTCGACTCTGACTCTGACTTTTCGTCAGTTGTCAGTTGATAGTTCAGCTCGGGAGCTATGCAGATGGGCGAGACCGGCAGGACTAGAATAGGGGACCGAGATTTGAAGAAGCAGTTACGTTTAGGAAGCGACATGACATCCAGCAGAACCTTCAGGAAGGCTCTCATGCCGGATATCGTGAAGCGAAAGGTCGAACTTTCAGTCAGGATTCAGAGAAAGAATGTCAGGACATTGTGGAGGGGCCGGCATCCTCCGAAACGCAGAAAAGAGACGGAAATGAAGGAACACGGGCCACTCCATTTAGTTTGCCCGCACCGACCGAATGAGGGATATTTGTTTTTTGCATCCTGTTCTGTGTCGTGAGGTGGAGAAGAGGGTTGGTGGTAGTACACCTGGGCAGACTGGAACCATATATGGGAACTGCTTAATGAAGGAGCCGCGGGAGAAATTGGACAGTAAACACAGTGAAAGCTGAGCCTCTGGGAGGAAGGTAAGACCAAGCACATTGGGCGAGTAAACACCGTGCAAACCGGTACGTGACAAAATGTAGAACACAAAGATCCAAGTTTTATGGGTTACATTCTATTTCAAAAGCTTTTAGATGTGGTGTCGGCTTTAGTTTTAGGCGTAGGTCCTGCTGTTGTTATCTCTGTCAGTAGTACTTTTGTTTACATAATAAAAATAAGACAAACAAAAGATGAAAAATCGCAGTTGTCTTTGGTTAAGATGTTGAATGTTTGGTTTATAGGTTTACCTCTATTGCTATTCTGCTGTCGTAAATCTGGCTCATCTCTTCTCAAAGTATTCAGGTTTCTAGATTGATCATATACGCCCAACATATTCATTACCCTGCTTGCCACGCTGCGAAGGAGTGTGTGGAGTCGAGGCAAAACGCCAATCCTTCTTTGACTCATAACCAGATGAATCGCGACGTCAAACTTACGCTCCGATCGTTTTACCAGCAACAAGAATTATTTTGTTATTCGCTGGGTAGGAACCTTGGTCTACACCAAAGCTCTTCTGGATGCCGCGCTGAATGTTAAATAGCGTTGGCCTAAGCGGTACTTTTCCAATTATGTTCTGTAGAATTACAAAATTATTAAATAGAAATATAGATTGATTTTATTAATCTTAGTTATTTAAGAACGCGTAACTTAAAATCAACGTCATGGGTACAATATACATATTGCCTTCTAAGACACTGGTAATTCGCCTCTTATAGTTTGTTCATGGGGGAACATGAACTTGAAAAGCCAGATTTCTGTAGCAATTTCCAGGTAAAAACGAAGCCATAATTTTTCACATGTCACGAGCGTTAACAGTACGGCCAGCAATTCGAACAAACGCGCCCACTCGCAAGAGATACTTCCGCTAGATGTAGCTAATGGCGTGGGGGGTGTCAGAGTTTCCGAGAGAAGGCAAGACCAACTCGACGTTTGCCCTCCATTTTCTTCGACATTGACACTAGTACTATACCAGCTTCTATCATATTTAGATGTACGTGACAGCTAAGGGGGCGGAAGGGGGCAGCTATCTGCCGGCTTCCTTAGCTTTTCTTTAGAAAATCAGAATTGAAGAGGAACGAAATCTACTATCAATTAAGAACAGTTATTAAGAATATTTAAAAAATAGATTCTTTTGTCCAGAATACGCCAGGACGACCAGTAAAAATAGTCATGAACGGCTTGAAGGTAGAGTCTTAATCTAACGTCTGGTTTACCCTTCACCCTTAGAAAATGATCTGTCCGCGCCCATGGTGATGAAGCGCTGACAGGCATTACTTTTTGCCAGTATTTCTATAGCTTTTATTACATAAGATTGAAATTCTTCTTATAGGCCTATCAGAACTTGATAACCTAATTATATGATTGCGGTAAATACATTATAATATAATTATAAAGTAAATTGGATCTATTGGAACTGGAATTAGACTTTCTTAATGTGAGATTTCCTACTCTTTAAAACGGATAGGCCATATATATGGGATAAGGTAAGTTAAAGTCTGTGCCGCTAAATATTAAAGCTAAGCAACACGACAGTTTGATTCACAGAAGTTCAACATCGAAGTGAAGTTTCATGCCCACTTCTGTCATGTCCCAATTTGCAATTCGATTTGTAATAACTGCTGTGGTGGAATTTACGTAATCTTTGCTGCACCAATTATCATAAATGACGGGTAAACAAGGCACAGCAAAAAATACACAGTACTTTGTTACCTAATCTTTGTTCCCGCGATACTGTATTTATTTCTTACTGGAAGAAATATTATGATTTCAGTATTATCAAATTATCGAACGCCTTGTTGTAACTTACAACTATAATAATTTTGAAACTTTTTTGCATTCAGAAATTTTGTAGGTCCTCCTCGCACATCTCTGGCTTAACTTATTGGAGACCCCTTCAGAGGTCAACACAAGAAGGCTCACATCCCGAATAAAGATGGCGGAGGGAGTGACTAAGGCATATATGCACCAGTGCTTGGCTTTCGTGACTCCAGGTGTTCGGGTGGGACAGGAGAACTCCATTCAAATGCTTACTTGTCTCCAAACTGACGTCAAAAATAACTTTCGGTGTCTTTAAAACCTGTATACTTTAATTGACGAGTGAATTCCACTGTTCAATGACGTTATTTAAGCAGAAATTATTGGTTGGCATAGCAAGAGACGGACAAAGGATTGAAGCACACGGGTGTGATAGGGGCAAGTACACAGGGATTTTGATCTTGGTCACGGAGTTCGGAAGTTGTCTGATGATTACCCAGTCTCTTATGGCCACTGTTTCGGAAGATCTTTCTATGCAGGCCTATAGGGACAGGAGAGTATCCTTCACAGTCGACTACATATTTCCGTATATGTTTTTTAATTGTGGGTCATCACTGTCTTGCTAAAAAGAATCTTGTACATTGACAGTTTTAACTTCACAAATGGTTCTTCCTGTTCTCATAAACGAGATTATTGAGACCGAGCCTTGACAGTGCAAAGATTATGTCTAATTGTAGTCATAGTTTAGTGCGAAGGAAATGTCACTGTCAGAATTTGGATTAAGCTAATTAAATTCTGTTATTATTTTGCCAATCAATACAAATAGAAGAATACTATCGAAATTAGAAATGCTTGGAGCTGCACTTCCATTCCTCTTAGGCCTATACATCCCTATAGTGCGCTGATCAGGATCGAATTTTCCAATAGGACTCCAAAGACAAAATAAAATCTGACTGATGAAGAAAAATAGCATAATTAAAGTTGACTAATAATAAAGAAATATAGATAATATACCCACTACTCCATTTAGACATAATAGGAAAATGTGTTGATGTGATTGAGACTGAGAACTTGAAATCAAAATCTGATTTTTGTTTTTGTCTGTCAAACACAACAGCTTCATTATATTTTTTGCACAAAGCAGAAATAGAACCAAGAGATAGATCAGATTTAAAGTTTTCCCACTGCTGTGTTGAATATAAAGCTTACTGTATTCTAGGATGTGAGTCTGTGTAGTTTGGTTGATTTCGGAGTATCTGTACCCCCATCTTCATGTACAAGATTCTTATACCCTGAAAATACAGGCAACGTGTTCCTCTGAAACTTTGAGTATTAATTTACTGGATGAAGTACTCCTTCGTTTCACGAAATTTCACTTAAAATGTTTACTGGGTAACGTATTTGAAAAAGTAATAAAGCTTTTCCCGTTAATCCTAATCGTAATGAACTTTGGTATTTTCAATCTTGAACAAAATAGAACGTCTGGAACAAACCTAAACTTTTAAGAAGACAATCGAATTAATGTCCCCAATAGCTGCAGCGCAAACATTTATACTGCACAATATGTCATCTCTTCAAAATTGACAATACGAAATTAAAACTGCAGGTCTAGCTTACTTAAATTTTAAAATCGTGCAGATCGTTCACATTTTAATTTCTTTAGTTCTAAATTGACGCATCAGTAAATATAGAGCACGTAAAAAGAACGTCTAAAACGGACAAAAATATGTTATAGTATCTTTTATTGTTTCGTAACTTTTGATAAATCTATTTGATCTTGTGTTGTATATTGAACGATTCAGCATGGCTGCCATTTCGGCCGCTGCCGAACCCTCTAGCGAGAACACTGAATGTGCAGGATGCTATACCGCTCAGGCGCTTCGCCTTTGCGGATGCGCGAAGATATCTTGCCAGTGATGGTCAGCTGTGACGGGAAAGGCCTCCGGAAATGCGCCTTAGGCATGTAACTCTGAATTTCAGGGATACCCTACGGCATCACAATGTACGTGTACGGTTCCGAGATTACGTAGACATGTAATATGTGTGTGCCTAGTGTAAATTCACGGTGAAAATCTGGCGTGAACGGTGCCGCGGTGGGTCTGGGATCATGGCGTCGGTCTCAGCCGAGACCCCAGCCGGCCACGGGCACAGCTTCAGCAAGAAAACGTTCCACAAGCCCACCTACTGTCACCACTGCAGCGACATGCTGTGGGGGCTCATACAGCAGGGGTACATCTGCGAAGGTAAATGCATTTTATAATTGACATGTACAAGAATGACGTGTGTATGTGTGGTTCTCCGCGCGGGTAGGTGAGGGGTGAAGTATTGGGGATCACCGCTGCAGCCGAGGCCCGGGCTGTTTTGTTCCCCGACAGCATCCAGTTAACCCCCCCACATCACCTTTCTCGTACGGGATGGGCCATACAGGTTTCTCATATTGTCACTTTCGCAATGTTAGAAAAATCGTGTTAATATCGTTTTAATTTCATTTAATACTTATTAGATGCGGCTGTAGGCTATTGAAAATTTGTTAGTAGGACTGGAGGGAGGGGCTTCAGTTTCGGAGCTTTTCGACACCGATGATCAAGGTATCTTATTAATCTCTCATCAGAATGTAACCATATCGCGTCTGTTTCAGAGTATATCTGAAGCTACTGATTTCCCGCAGTGATGTTGTTTAATATGACTATCACCTCCCGTTAATAATTTGATGTGCAAGCGATTTCATATTGCCCATAAAATTTTTAAAATATAATGTGGTTGCGTTTAATTTTCTTTGCAAAGAAACACATTAATGATCATTTCATGAATGAAGTACGCATACGTTGTGACATGCAGTAATATGTTTTTAACTTCGACCGTAACAGTATGATTAGTGTTAAGGCGAGGAAGACCTGTGCCATTTCTGCTCAGCACTCTCCCTGACTTAAATTAATAATAACAGTATGAAAGCCATTTGTAATACTGGTCTGCCCGTAATATCAGTTATACATGTTCTCCAAAGCGACGTCATTGTGCTTTTGTATAACGACTATGTTGTGAGTGGGTCAAGTTCTTGGCATCTGCTAACAAATGCGGCGTAACGTATGATCGATCCGTGAATGAAACGGGATCAATGTTGTGTGAATCTTGGCACAAAGACGAATTTGTGGAAGAGGGACGAATTTGAGAAAAGAAGATCCTACCTGAAACCTGATTTTCTCGGTTTTGTTGAAAGATGTGAAGCATTTCATTAATTGCAACAATCAGATAAAACAGAAAGAGAAAGTGCCCGTTGTTGTTTTATGTGCATGATATACTGAGCAGGTTAGCATATCGGCAGCGCTCTGGTGTTGTATTCGCTGGGTGTGCAATTCGAATCTCTGCCGGGACACCGGATATCCTGACAGATATTCCTTGGCTTTCCTCAGCTCCTGCAAGTTAATGCTGGGATAGTACCGCGGTGATAACTACGACCGCCACATACCAGATCCTTTCCAGTTCAGTCATCAGCTCTACCAGACGCTGTATAGTCTAAATACCTAAAGCGCCCAAAGATAAATCACACAGAAAGTACGCGATGATAAACAATGATAGGAGCACAGGAATGTCTTGTAAGATCCAAGTCATGATCAGATGCTGCCATATGTTTGGGGAGGACCAGTTAGTATTGTTACATGTTCATGAGGGGGAGATGTTTTACTGCTATTGCAAGCATTAATGTAAACAAACACTACACCTCAGAGAAGGTTCCTATGTATTGAGCGTGTGGAGTTATGTTCATGCTGCAGTCTTGCCATTTTATGCACTCGCAAGTAACCAAATAATATGTTGACCTTCATGTAGGACCAAATTCAGTGACACGCTCATATTGGAGCAAACACAAATTGCCATTTATTATTAAATCCACAATGAATGGAAATTACATTTAATTTGTTGTTCATCGTTGGACACGATATGAGGACAAACAGCAGGATAGCAAATTGATGATGGTTGTGATTATTCATTTATTGCGACACTTATTGATTAATCCTTCCGTTAATTAACGGCCCCGTTAGGTGTCAGCCGTAGATATTAGTCTCACAGTGTCCACCGAGTCGTAGTACGCCCAGCGTTTAAGGTAAATCGGGGAGTATGTTCACAGTGATGGCAAGCAGCCATCCTCCTCTTCCTTCCTCGCCGCCGCCGCCGCCGTTATCACCACGGCACCACCATCACAGCTCTCATCATCTTTGGTCACAGAGTAGGCACTACAACTGATTTGTTCCTTGGTTTAACTCTGCTTTGTTAAAAGATTAATTTACTCGTGTACCGAGTGACGGAAAGAAGTTTTTTTTTGTAAGATTTGAGGTTTTCACGGCGGTGGCTGTGAAGAATGCCGTCTTTTGGGATGTGGCGCCGTGTGTGAACCGATGATTCGGATGAACGTATCGCCTCCATCTTCAGGCTAGAAAAGTCCGCGAGCGAGGAACCAGCATGAACAGGTGGCTGCAGACAGGCTTTTTCAACCCCGAAGATGGAAGCGATACGTTCCTCCGAATCGTCGGTTCACACACGGCGCCACATCCCAGAAGACGGCATTCTTCAAAATTTATTTTGTGATAAAAATGAACGGGTTTCGAGATTTGTTGGAAACTCATACAAGTTGTACGTGTATATGTTTAAAGGGAGTTATTCATGTCGGTTGATTCGTTACACAGAGCAGTATTCTCCATCTTGAGCTTTAAAAATATGCATTGTGTTTAGAATTCAATGTGTTCAGCCCGGTTGACTATTGGTTCGCGTCGTGTACTGAAAATATTATTAGTCATAGCCAAATTCAAGGGAGTGCGACTGGGTAGTCACTCCGGGACCTCCACAAAACAGAATTAGAATTCACAGATTGTATTGAGACTTTTTCTTTTCAAAAAGCAGGTATAGTTAGTTTGTAAAAAGGCAAAAATGTAAAGATGTCCCTGTGTATAACTGATTAAGCACTACTCCATTAAGGTGTATGGGGGAGTGGATGTGTAGATCCACATTTTCTTGACCTCGGCACTAGCTTCACGGCCCTGTGTAACCCCAAGAGTATGCTAACCACCGGTTGAGAAACACTGACATTAGGCCGTGTTGTTTCGGGTTGTTGGGAAAGACAACATGTCCAGTGGCCCAAACACAGACATGCCTACTTTTCCAACCAATTGATTCAGTTGGGAAGTATACGGAAGGAACCGGTTTTAGCGTGTTCTGAGCTACAGTCGCAGCATTTTATTGAAGGGGTTGAAGAGAACCACAAGAAATATCAGTCAGTTGAGCATGTCTCCAGCTCTAACTTAAAATTGTGACATGATTACCAAGCCGGAATTCTAACCACACCGTCCTCACTTTTGACAGTCCATCGTGATTTGAGTCGGAGTTTGTCTTGAGACATTTAATCTTTTCGAAGTATACTCCATCAACTGTGGGAAGGAGGTTGCGTCATTGTTGGTTAGTGACGTAGGCCTTTACGTCGTCATTCACGTCATTACGTTATCTTTTCAGCATACTTCCAGTGCTCATACACCGGTGGGAAATCCAAACATACACACACAGGACTTTACTTCAATAAGGTGGCATACTCAAGGCATGACATATCCTGGTTCGTAGAGCAAATGGATTTCAGTAGATTGACGTGGGTGTGGAATCGGCCCGTTACGAGACAACATTGAGCAGCACAGGAAACGAGGACAAACATTTATGGTACAAACAGATTCGATCCCATGACTTCAGGGTGTGGCGGCAATAAGACAAATTATTAGTTTCGTTTCATGGAAGAGGTGAAACTTGACTTCCGTAAGTACTGTGAAATACAGGGTGTGTCCAGGATCCGTTAGAACTCATTTTTTTTGCTCTGCAGTGCCATCTGTTGGCGAGTTGTGGCATTAAGATTCTTGAAGTTTCAACTGTGGCTGACTATAATTTCAAAGCGCAAGCATCACTGAATCATGTGTCCTGACCTTGAATGTAACAGTACTGTTCTGACGCTCGTCGGAAAATGGCGGTTGAACAGAGATCCAACATCAAATTTTGTTTGAAGTTAGGCAAAACAGCCGGAAAAGCATACGAAATGATGAAAAGTGTGTACGGTAGTGATTTGTTTGAGTCGCTCGAACATTTTTCGATGGTATGCTGTATTTCGTGATGGCAGGGAGGACATTGAAGGCGCTCCACGTGCATCAAAGCCGAGAACAAGTCTCACTGAAGAAAATGTGAAAAAATTGATCGAAATCCTTGCATCAGACAGATGTGTTTCTGCAAGACTCATCGAAGGGCTTTTTGGGAATACCAGAAAGTACTGTGCATCAAATTTTGACCGAGGATTTGGGCAAACGGAAGGTCTGTGCGCGGTTTGTACCGAATGCGCTGTCAGGCGGTGAAAATCATGCCAGAGTGGAACACTGCAAAGACATGTTACGGTTGGCCCAAAGAGACACAAATTGTACAGAATTGATTGTTACTGGTGACGAGACATGGTGTTTTCAATATGAGCCTCTCACAAAGCGACAGAGTGCAGCGTGGTTGAGCCCAAAGAAGCCGAAACCAAAGAAAGAGCGCATGCAAAAGAGTCGAGTAAAAACACTGCTAACCTTTTTCTTCGATTCCAAAGGAATCTATTCACGAGGAATTTTTGCCATAAGGTCAAACAGTGAATTCTATTATTATCTCTGAGTCCTCAATCGTTTGTGGGCTAGAATTCTTCGAATTCGACGTGAATATCGAGAGCAAGGTTCCTGGTCGCTCCTCCACGACAGTGCCCCACCCCACAAATCGAAGATCGTGCGCGATTTTTCGGGCAGAAAAGGGATCAGTCCTTGATCATCCTCCGTATTCGCCAGATTTGACTCCAGCAGATTTCTGGTTGTTCCCAAAGTTAAGTTGGCGATGAAAGCAAACCGTCACGACACCATCCAGGACATCCAAAGGGAATGTACCGCAGTTTCAAGTGTGATTCCACAAAAGGAATACAGTGACTGTTTTCGAAAAATTTTCAATCGATTGCAGCTATGTATTGAATCAGAAGGAGACTATTTTGAATAAAAGAGAAATTTGAAAATAATTCACGTCTTGTATTTTTAATGAACACAGTCCTAATAGAACCGGGACACACTGTGTAGTTCGCTTGAGGACTAAAGCCACGGAGTTTTTTGTTTTTTATAGCGTAAGCCAAAGCACGCCGTTAGTCTAGGCCATGTCGGTCTTGAAAATCCCCATCTAGTGTGAGTTACCTGTATAAAATGTATCCTTT